ATCCTCCACAGTCATCACACTCCGCACTCTCCGCACCCGCCAGCTGCTCACTAGCTGGACGCGACCGGCGATCCACCGACGGCGGCGTGACAACTCCACCTGGCATCTCTGTCCGCCCTGAGATCATTGCTCCGCCTCCTCGCTTCTGACACTAAACATTTCACCATCCTCAACTAAACGCTTTTTTTGCACCGACATCAACTATAATGATTTTATGACGGGCTATATAATGGTTCTAAATAATTTTATGGCGGAGCCCTTTTCGGCTCCATTGTGAAACCACTCAATAAAACAGGTAGTCGGTGTCTTTAGGCTACTGTATTTTTCATTCTACTAGGATCCATATTGACACTACAGAATGTAAAAAGGTCAAAGGAAAAACGGTATCTTCATCTTAATCACCAATGTTTCACGAACACTATCGTAACAGCACTGTTTATACTCCTTAATGCAATGCAGATATAACTTTTAAACAGACACTTAGTATCTAAATATCTAATTATTTTCTTGTGACGACAAACGATGCTTACGAAGTGACGTACTACGAACGAACATTACGAATTTACGAACAACGAATGAAGGATCCTGAGATAGTACTATACGCGACTAATAAATATAGTCCGCTGCACTTATTTATTTAAAGCACTCAGTTGTACACTTTACGATCGGTAGGGTTATAACGTAGGTTATGGTTACCTTCGATAGCAAGAATGACCAATAATGTCGTTCGATTCATAACTTAAATTGACTGTGATTGGCCACAATTGCTATCTTAGGATAAACTACCTACCTACAGTCTTTTCAAGGGTCAATTTTCCAATCAGAAAACAAACTAGAAAAGCTTAGAAAGAGACACCGAATCGCTTTTTAAGCAACGCTTCCTAGTGGCTTTATTCAGTACTAATGTTCATGAAGAGGTTGTGTTGTTTTATCCAAAATAAAATCTAGGTCTTCTTGTGCTGCTTTCCATGCTAATAAGAACCAGTCTACATATTGAAAATGACTTAAAGAAAAATAAAAACCATTTTAATAGAGACTAAAGCATCTGGAAAATTATAAAAATAACTGGCAATGTGTTTATGATTGAGATTTGCGTTGACGTTTGTTTTGACTTTATTGCTGTCTTCTGTCTTGTCATCTGTCAGTCTGCCAATGTCAGAATAGGGACCACGAGTGTAGAGCGGTTGCGTGTTATTATTTTACAAATATTATTTGAAGCACGCGAAAAGGATTACAACATAAAATGAAGAGAAAAATAGCAGATATTGAGGAACAAGAATCTAAGTAAGGTTACTTTTTTTTTTTTAGATAGAATTGTCATAGTTTGCATAAAAACGTTTCATTTTCTTTTGTAGGCTATCTACCCTTCTGTTCAATAAATCTAACAAGTTTACTGAAAAGCTATCAACAAAATTAGACAAATCCGAAGATGAAAAGAAACCCGCGTGGTTTGATGAAGATGATGAGGAATTTATTGATAATGCAGCTGTACCATATTTGAAGCAGAATTTTTATGCTAGTAAACTAAAGCAAAAATATAATACATTAATAGGTACACCTTCTTGGGCGGAATTGAACAAAAAAGAAAATGATGAGGATGACGATCATGAAATATTGAGAACTGTTGGACATTTAGAAAAAAAAAAGTCAAGTGGTCTTTCAAAAGACCTTTTAGAATACAAAAAGTTTCCAACAATAAATAGTGCAACAAACAATGAAGGCCAAATCATACAATGCTTGGAATTTCATCCTAAACTGAGTGTATCTCTTGTAGCAGGGACATCTGGTGTAGTGTCCTTGTTTTCTATTGGAGGAGATGTAAATACTAAACTCCACAGCTTCAAGCTGAAGAACTGGATTGTCTCTTCAGCGCATTTCACACCTGATGGTACAGAAGCATATATTGCATCAAAAAAGAATCACAACTATTGTGTTTATGATTTAGTCAAGGCGGAACCTAAATTAGTACAATTGCCTAAAGCAATAAAACGACCAAGCTTTTTCAAATTGTCTTCAGATGGCAAGTACATTGCAACAAGTATTGGTATGGATGAAGTATATATAATATGTGCCAAGTCAAAGGAACTCCTGCGTTCACTAAAAAACAACTCAAATATAGTGTCAGTGGCTTTCAATTCTACTTGCGATAAGTTATATTGCTATGGAGTGCAAGGAGAAATTACAGTCTGGGATTTACCAACATTTAAAGCTTTAAGTAAATTTCAAGATCAAGGATGTGTTTCTGCATCAACATTAGAGACAAGTGCATGTGGTAGACTTTTAGCTACCGGTAGTGGTGAAGGCATTGTAAATGTATATGAAATGTCCAATTTAACATTTCCTTATCCAATGCCATTAAAAACAGTTTCCAATTTGAGAACCAGAATAACAGATATTACATTTAATGGAACATCAGAAATACTTGCAATAGCTTCAAGTTACTACCCCAATGCAATAAAACTTGTTCAATTGCCATCATACCATGTTTTCCAAAACTTTCCGAATAAACTAAATTTATACCAAGTGCAAACAGTGAGCTTTTCTCCTAACAGTGGGTATATGGCAATTGGAAATAATAAGGGAAATGCCTTCTTGTACAGACTCAAACATTATAAGAATTACTAAGGATTCAGAAGTTGTTTTATTTATCCGATCTATACTAATATTATAAAAACTTGTTTTTCTGTTTGTATTGGAATAACACAAAAACTACTGTGTCAATTTCAATAATTATTTCACTTTTAGAAAAATAAGTTATCAGTGAGTAACATAAGCTATATTTTTTTGTTATTTTTTAAACTCAAGCGGGCAATGTCGCGAGCAACAGCCAGATCATAAATGTCAACTATATATTTTATTAATAAGCATAGATTTTTAATTCCTTCCCCATCTTACTAATACTATAAATGTGAAAGTGTTAATGGATGTTTTGTTAATTGATGTTTGTTAGTTTGTAGCCTAAACGACTAAACAGATTTCGATGAAATTTGGCATTGATATTCCAGAAAATAGTCTGGAAGAACACAAGCTATTCACTTTTGTTTTCTCAATTCCAAGCGGACGGAGTCGCAGGCGAAAGCCACTGGTTTAATAAACTGAAGAGTAGTGTCAACTCGAAGTAATCACTAGAGTTTTGTCTAAAAGGAAAATAATAAAAAGATTTGTGAGATAAAATGTTTATTTTAATGCATTACAATTAGTACAATAAAATTTAACATTCTACAGGAGTAGTCACAAATGGGCACCTAGTCATACCAGCTTACTGCTGAATATCATCCAACAAAATATGTTAAGCCAATAATCATTTAGGCAATGCAATTAAACAATCCAGATACCAATCCACTATAAGTAAATAAACACACAACTTACAACCATATAAATAAATCTAAAACATTGGAGCCTCATTACACAGTTTCTATAATTCTGGGATAGACAGGGAATTTAATTACAAAGCAAATAGGCTAATTTCCTACATGTACATTATTGAAGTCAATACAAGCTTAAATGTGCAAGAGATATGAACTAGTTACTATTATAATTTTTGTACAGTCAGCTGCAAATATAAACATTGACAAAGCTCCAGAAAGTTTTTTTTGCTTCAAAAATATGTATGCAGATATCCATTTATAAGTTTCCGACCATCAATAAAAGTTATTGACAAATGTTACATGGACACATATTTAAAAACCAAAGGTCTATAAGTTTGTATACATATTTATACAGCTAACTGTACAATACATATTGCACTTTACAATGTCAATGAATTCTCAATATGTATTTTGTACATGAGTATGTAATGTAAACAAGGCTCTCGGAAAATAAAAATCACAGTAAGTATTAATTTGAATGTTCTAGAATTTATCTACTGCACCTAAAATTAATGGACCTATTTATCATGATCCTACCGTAATAGTCGAAATATTATTTACTGGCTATAAATTATGGAAATAATCTAGTACTTTTATTTTCACAAATATACATACCTTGCACAGGTGCAATTACTTGCACTAAAGTGTTCTCATATATTACCATATCTTTTCCAATAAGAGGGTCTATCGCGAATAATCGTATGACAATTGCGAGAACATATTCATAATGACATAGACACAATTTCTATTAAATATGTTGGTATTTTACGCCCAGTACCAACTGAGTAATCTAATACAAATGCCAATGGCGTTACGACAATGTTCTCTAGAATATTCGTCATAAAACATCTCTCCTATAAAAGATAGAGAAAATAAAAGTACATGACTTAAATGAGTTTGTGATTATCATTTTATTTATTACAAGTTTGAATTCTAAATAAGTATAGTGAAATGTATGAGAATTAGAGGAGTGTTGCGATGAATTTAATTGCAAACAATATAGAAAACTGTTTACCTTCTTTATTTGTCAATAAGTTCAAATGACAAGATATATGAAAGTTAAGAAACTTTGCATGGATTTGTTACTAAGATAAGATGATGGACAATTATAAGTTCTTTGGACAAAGTAGAAACATAAACACAAGATATTTCAGTGTCTAAACCAAGTCATATCATGATTAGTTTTAGCATGTATAAAATATATTGTAGACAATAATTTTTGTTACAAATTCATAACCTGAAAATGTTACAAAGTCAATAAGAAAAGTTTTTTGCCAGACAAAACTAAAAAATAAAGAAATAAAAAACAACATATTCTCTACATTGATTGCGAGAAGTGAATACTGAATTTGTTTCCTCTTTTATATTGCAAGGGCTAGTTCACCAAATGTATTGATAGTGCCGACTGTGAGCAAACAATGCCCAAGTAGTCTTTTTATATCAATATGTTAAATAACATTTACTAACTAATTAACTATTCAATAAGAGTTTATTTTGAGGTTGGCATAGATACCTCACACCAAGTGTGACGTGATACAATTCTTTGACGGATTTTGTACAACTTGACCAAATATAGTTGCGCGTTACCACGCATACTTTTTACCATTCCTTGAATTACTTAATTGAAGATAAATAATGAAGCGATCAGTCAGTTAAGTCATAGGATGTCTCAACAGACCATTATATTCACCTATAGCATCTGGGTGGCAGGCAATCTGTAATACTGCATTTTTCGCGGAACGTTAGTGAAATGGTCTAACCTGGGCGGTATTTCCAACTTTCTCAAAGGCAGTTAATATATCTATAGTTCCTCTAGTATTGCGGATATCTATGATGGTTAATGTTGCCACTGCTTGCCCTTCTCTTATACAGGTCCCCAAAGTTATAAGATGTCATGTGCTCGTTTACCGCACATTATATCGTCTGACGTTCTCACAAAACCGCATGACAAAGACAGCAACTTTTCAGGATAGAGAAAAAACTGGATATTTTTGTAAAGATACTATACTAATACACTGCTTGTGTATACTTAATTACAGCTATATTTTTTTTTAGAGAAGGTGCAAAACGAGCAGCGGAACACCGAGATGTCTAATGTAGACGTCTTTCTGATAGACTGAAACAATGCGTCTTCATAGCGAATGGCATTAAAATAGCCAAAGTTAGAACTTCAATGACTATATAGCAAATTGGGAGCTTAGTTGGCTTACAATACATTTAGTGAACATAACCTAACATAAAGCTTATGGTAGTGCACCATGCGGGAGGTCCATGCGGTGCGGCGCGGTGTGGCGCGGTGTGGCGCTGCAGTTATCCGGTGGCGCACTGCACGCGGTTCATGCCGGGATGGTCATCATCCTCCTCGTAGGCGGCGTGGTGCGCGCGCCGCCGACGGTTCTCTTGCTCAGGGTCCAGCTCGATAAGATGACACTCTTCAGCCATTTCAGGGATTTCAATCTACAAAGAAATGTGCAATCTTTATCTATACTAATATTATAAAGAGCAAAGATTTGGATTTTCGTATGCATGGAAATTACTAAACAACTACTGGGCCAATTTATACTTTCACCATTAGAAAAGTATTAAAATAACTCCAAAACTACTGGGCCGACTTATACTTTCACCAATAGAAATTTATTTGTAGCACAGGCTATAATTTTCATTTTCACGCGGACGAAGTCGAGAGCAAAAGCTAATTAATATTAAATGTGACAGTTAAGATGGACAGATGTTAGAAGGTTTATCCGAAACTGCAAAACAGATCTCAATGAAAATGAGCACAGATGTAACATAGTCTGTAAGAAAAATAGCTTAATATTTTTTTTAATTCCGTTTGGACAGAGATGCAGGCATAGAAGCTAGTATGATATATGAAAACAAAATTAAATAACAATTTCACTGTAACAGTAACATCAATTTTAGTAATAAAAATGAAGTATTAAACTTACCCTTGGTCTCGGCGGCAAGCAGTTCTCTAACGCGGGAATGACTTCAGGCGGAATAGTGTTGGGGAAATTAACTAAGAATTGAATAATCAGTTGGCCCTTTTCAAATGGATTCTTATACATAGGCATACCTGAAATAGTATTCATATTTATTTAATCACACAGCCAAGGGTTTTCAATATTTCCTGACAAAACGCTGTTTAAAGCCATTGGCAGTTTAAACTTGAGACCAATGTCGTGAATATATAAACATTTAATTTATTTTAGCTATTTGGGAATCAAAACAATGTACAATTGTTAACACACAAGGTTTCATTAACCCTGAACAAACAAAATAACTTTGAGGGTTACACATTACAACATTTCATACTTAAAGTTATATATAAACCTAAAGTTATACCAGCTACATACCTTCATTAAGGACACACTTTACTTCACCATGCTTAATGACCTCTCCGGGCATCACAGTCACCACAATATCTCTCTCATCAAGAGTTCTAATAACCTTCTGGAAGCCACATAGAGCTTCCACAAGCTCTATATTTAAGCGTAAGATCAGATCATTTCCGGAACGTTTAAATAACTGTAACAAAATTATTAAATTACACACAACAATCATAAAAGACTAAAGGTCAAGATATCTTTTAACCTTGTAATAAGATACCAGATCTAAATACTGTTAATATATACTAATATAATAAAGCGTAAACACACACTTCTTTGTTGCCTAAGATGTCAGCAATTACAGCATGTTTTCGAATAACTCTTTTTTTAATAAAAAGCCGTACACTTACGTCACGCTTTAGGCTATATATTTTCACACCGTTAAACTTAGGGGTAAATATTTTGGATAAAAACCCTAATGTGGGAAAAAGACCAAAAGTTGTTGCCAACATCAAGGAAGCAAGGTTGCCATGGTTTGACATCATGTCATGTCATTTTGATATTTGACAAATGTGAACAATAAAATATTTTTTTTATAATTTTATGCGGATGAAGTCGCACGGGAACAGCTAGTTTAGTACTATAAAGCGGAAAGCTTTGTATTTTTGTATGTAATAAAATAAATAAAAAATACTAGGCTGATTAAAAAAAAATTCACCATTAAAAACCTATGTCATTAGTGAGTAACATAAGGTATGTTTTTTATTATTTTTTATTTTCACGCGGATGACGTCGCGAGCAACATTTAGTGTTAAATACTTACAGCCTTACAAATAACTTTTATTTTTTATTATAATGTGTTAGCCTGTAAGTGTATCTATGATATTGTGTTTTAGTTATAATTACTTTTCTTCATCAAACAGAACTTATTTCATGTGATACATTGGCTTCCTATTGTAAATAAATAAATAAATAAAATAAACGCGGTATTAAATTAAACTTAGGAATAAACTGAGTATAAGTAAATATAATTACAAATTTTGCTTATACCCAGTTTATTCCTAAGTTTCACTTTATACCATGTTTATTTGTAAGGCTGTTATAATCTATTGATATGTGGATTTACTACTTAAGTCATGTATATCATTGCAAGTGACAATTAAATTTATTAGCATTATACTTGTTAATTAAGTCATAGCATTCACAACTCATTTACTTAACATTACTGAATCATTGATCACAATAGACACAGACAGAGAATTATCAATAAATATAATTTTACATCTGACTCAAACAATGCAATATTGAGAAATGCTTTTATTTTAATTATATGAACTAGATATCTATCTATACTTCTATACTAATATTATAAAGAAGAAATGAGGTTTTTTGTATGTATTGAAATAACTCAAAAACTACTGGGCCGATTTCAAAAATTCTTTCACCATTAAAAAGTTATGTTATCACTGAGTAACATAGGCTAGATTTTTTATTACTTTCTTAAATTTCATGCAGACGAAGTCGCGAGCAACATACTTAATAAAGCTATGAGACTACTTGATCAATCCTAAAAAATCTTTTGTCATTTGAAGGCTAAATTTTAAGAACATGTAAAAGTGATATTAATTAAATAAAAAATTGCATTATCACAATAAAATAAACATTTCCTGAACAATTTATTTAATGGCATGACTTGCAATTCTATTACCATGACTAGTATTACCAATAATGGGTTATTGTTTAACATTGGGTAAAATTACCTCATGTTCTTTCTCATCTAAGACTATAATAAGATCTCCAGCCTCCATTTCTGGTTCCTGATCGCCTTCTCCACTGAAGATAATCTTCTGTCCATCTGTCATACCTTTGTCAACATGAACTTCAAGAATTTTACGGTCTCGTACAGTTTTACGTCCCTAAAAGTCACAATGAAAGCACATTATTACATAAACAATCTGACATTCTTGCTGCCAAAAATTTCATATTTAAAACAAAACACCACTATGTCCAAGAACTAAACCAAAGACAATTTTTAATTCCATTCGGATGAAGCCATGAGCAAAAATTAGTTTAAATAGTGAATATGAATACTGTTTAAAACATATTTGTTAGGGACATCAATGTTCAACTTTGCTTTTATAATAAAAATACAAGATAATAAAACCATAGAGTTTAATTCCAGACATTCACAGACAAAACCCTTCTTTTACTGTCTATATAAAATTTAAAAAAAAACCTATATAGTACTTTGCTCACCTGGCAGACTTTGCAGCGATCTTTAGGATCAATGATCTCCCTCATGCCACGGCAATCAGAGCACACAGTTTGGATTTGCTGTATCATACCCGGGGCAAGTTGCTGGATCTGGACCTGCATACCTGTGCCTCGGCAAGTCGGACATGTTTGCACTGAACCCTATAAGGAAACAAAAAAGTACTTAACATATAATGGCCACACCAGCAACAATCTATTACAGAAATGGACAGGTTACTGCTTGGCAAATTCCCCATTCACCAGGCAGTAACAGCATTTAGAAGAAAATACCTTTTTGCCACCTCTGCCTTCACATTTCTCGCAGATAACATTCTTTTGTAGAGCCAGCTTCCTAACAGCACCACGGTACAATTCCTCTAATGTGACAGATAGCTGGTGAATAACATCCTTTCCTTTCCGTTCACGACCACGTCGCCGGCCACCGCTAAAGCCACCGCCAAAGAACATGTCAAAGAGATCCATCGGAGATGAGAATCCACTTCCACCACCACCTTCTTTTAACGCTTGCTCTCCACCTAAAAAGTATTGTGAATCATATAATATTGGTGTATAAATGACAAAGCAATTTAATGACTTGCAAAGATACTATTTTTTTGATTAATCAATGTAGTAAATTAATATATTATTCAATCTACTATTAAATTGAAAATGGAATCGGCAAGACTGTTCACCTATTTAATCACTGGAGTAAATTGGATTACAACAAGCCATTTTTAATCCAATTTAGCTGTTTCATGCACTAAAATCAAGGGAAAGGAAATTTTAAGTTTCCTGTTGTGGAAAGCAATTAAAGTGATGTTTTGCAAAAATTGCTATAAGATTGCTTTTTTTCTTAAGTGGTAGAAAACTCATGTAGGTTAAATTTTTTCATTAAAACCTATCCACCATTGAATTAAAAGAGTATTATTCTCTGCTTATCTTTCCTTACCAATGACATTTTGTTAAATCAGAATACAAACCTTGATCGTAAATTCGCCGTTTATCCGGATTAGAAAGAACTTCGTAGGCTTGTGAGATCTGCTTGAAGCGTTCACCTTCATTGGGGTTCTTGTCAGGGTGGTATTTCAAAGCTAACTTTCTGTATGCCTTTTTGAGTTCATCTGTAGTACAGCTCGGTTTCACCCCCAAAATATCGTAATACGTTGTCTCTTTCACCATTTTAAATCCTGAATGAGTAAAGGAATTGAATTATGCAGTTGTTTTATTTTAGAACCTCTATTAAAAAAAAAACTATAAAAGTAAAATATTACATTTCCCCAATAAATACTATATTGCGTCACTACACGCTTATACATTAACATGAAAAACTTTCAATTCTAACCTAGAATTTCAAATTACAAAGAAACGTAAAATCTAGAAACCATAGAACTATGACATGACAGCATGGTGGAATCTATCAATTTTACCGTAATGGATAAATCTAATTGAAACCAGATATTAATTACATATGAAAACAATATTACCTTTCTAGTATTCACTTGCACTAGCACAAATTAATTACTGCTAAAGTTCCAGAAACAACGACAGAACGATTAGTTTTTAGCACGTAAGACAAAGCAACCTCAGCGCACGATGGTCAAATGACGTTTGGTTTGGATCGAAATCGAGAACTCTATATTGTCGTTGTCGTCATTCGTTAGTCGATCGCAAAAACTCATTCTTTCTAGAAAATTCTAGTATTCGTGCCATTTTACGCATCTTACTATAAGCAGATTTAATTAAAATTGAAAAATAGTAAAAGACTCTTCTTGGATTTTAAGTATAAAGGCATTGGAAATTCCAAAACTAAATTGGTATAGCCAGTGGCCGCAGCAAACAACAATTGTAAACACACTCAAAAATTTTTTGGTTAGTTTCTGCATCTAGTTAGTTAGTTTGTGCATCTACATAAACTATCTAATTATTTAATGCATTGACTACTTTAGTTAATACATTTTTTGGAAATAATATAGCTTCATACGCTAAAGTTTTTGATAAATGGAGACCTACGGGAGAAATGAAATCTAACCTATCTATGGTTGAAGTTTGAATGTTTTGACAGATAGTGTCAAAGTCAAGCAAACAAGTTTTGCGCGGCTAACACTTAGCCAGTACAGTTGGCCGGTAGTCGGTAGCGCTCTGATAGTAGACCGGGAACTGGCTGGCATAGTTGAAACGCTAATTAGCTTCAATGAGTGTCGCAACTGTCTAACTGTACTGGCCAAGTGTGAACCGGGCATTAGCAAAAGTTATCGTTTATCTTCACTAGATGGAGTTTTTTCTCGATCTTTAAGTCAAGTTGTTTTTACATTTTTACAGGTTTTTGCTGTGCGATTGCGATGTGTGATAAATAAAAGTTGCGGGGACGAAATACTACACCACAGCACTAACTATTGCTGGTTGGTTGTTGGCATGTATGACGACGTTAATTGGCGATGATAACGTCTGTTGTAATTGTGCTATGATAACGTAACATCAGTTCGCGAGCTAACACGTTCTTGGCTGCGGCAGTCTTCATTTCTTATCCACTTGTTTCAGACTCGATTTAGAGTGTGTACTTTTTGGAAAATACAATATTTTCGCATTGTTTTTAAATTGTGATTATTAATAAAAATGGCAGAGAAGCAAGTAAAAAATAGAGTGTGTATTGTTGGTTCAGGAAATTGGTAAGGCTTCTCTCTTTTTATTATAATTAGATCATTTTTATTTACCATGACCTTAGTGTAAAAGATGACATAACTGCACGATAGTGTTCGCTCAGAGTTTGTATGTTTAAACTTTTTATAATTGTTTGTTATATTTGAATTTAAGGATGTAATAAGATATATACGTAGTGATATTTACTAAAATATACATTTTTAACATGAAATACAATTTAAGTTGTTATCATTTATCAATAGGGGTTCAGCTATTGCTAAAATTGTCGGTCGCAATGCGGCGAGGCTGCCTAACTTCGAGGATAGGGTCACAATGTGGGTGTATGAAGAGATGATTGAAGGGAAAAAGCTGACTGAAATAATAAATGAAACTCATGAGAATGTCAAGTACTTGCCTGGACATAAACTTCCACCTAATGTTGTGAGTGTAATTTATATACATACTATATATAAAACTAGTATACAAAAACATATTTTGAATACTTTGAATGTTTCTTAATGGTTTCTTATAAGCTTACTGTATTGTTTTCTTTTTTTATGTCAGGTTAGTCTAATACCATTTGAAAGTTAACTACAGACAGTGTCTGGAGTGTTGTGGCATTGAATGCCAACAAACTCCACAACAAAGGGATTGTTAAATGTAATCTTTTTTTGTAAGGTTGCCATTCCCGATGTGGTAGATGCAGCTAAGGATGCAGATATTCTCATTTTTGTTGTGCCACATCAATTTGTGAGGACAATATGTTCAACATTATTGGGTAAAATTAAACCTACAGCTGCTGCACTTTCTCTGATAAAGGTAATCTTCCAATTTCACTCACTACAATCATTCAATAACAATTGTTTTGTTTCAATAGATTATAGCCACTGATTTACACAGGTAAATGGCAAGGTAATTGCTTAGAAATGACAGATTTTGCTTTGTTACAACTTAAAATCTATTGATATTGTTGTCAGTAAATTCAGTAGGTTTTATAAGTTGTAATCCCACTATAACTAATTGTCAGCATCAAAATGGCAATAACAAATAGACAAAGTACCACATAAACAGTCTGTCCATTTATAGAGGTCAGTGATTGTAGCTAATTGCATTGTTCTGTTGTAATTTTAATTATTTTATAATGATGTTAATCTTAGAATTATTCATATGGAAAAAACATCTTATACTATTTTAATAGTTATAACTCACAGAGATCTTTATTGAGCAATTACATTTAATAACATATGTAGTGTTGTGTAGGGTTGGCACAAGCAATAAGATTTTATAGATTGTGTTGAAGGTGAAATATACAAATGATAAATCTAACATGTGTTTGGCAGGGCTTCGACATTGCAGAAGGTGGTGGCATTGACCTTATCTCTCACATTATTACAAGGTGCCTTAAGATACCTTGTGCGGTGTTAATGGGTGCCAACATTGCCTCTGAAGTGAGTATTGTTAAATTCTTTACTATTATGTTCTGATAAAACACTGCCAATGCCACATATTTACAGTTCTAACAATGTTTCAATTTTTAAAAAATTTCTTAGATCTTTATTGTCTTATAATAAAAAAAAACAGCTTACTACATGATATTTCAATACCAAGTTTATTTGTGTAAAAAATATATTGTCTCGCCTGACATTATTTTCGCTTTAAGATCTAAATTTCAAAGCAATTGTTAACTAAAACAAAAGCTGCCCAGAAGAATGAAATTGTTGCATGTTTTTTTTTCTTCACAAATTTTAATTTTGCTCTATTGTTCTACAAGATAAGAGACAATATAGTAAAGTTATAAAATCTTTATACAAAATACAAAATATTAACTAATATACTAGTCCATGTATGAAATAATATGTGAGATTCTCTAAAGATACAGTAAGGTACCCCACTAGAACTATTAACATTTTGAGAACGAAAAACTACATGTGCATGCTGAACATTTCTTGTGTATTAATACATAAAAGATGTTTAAGAAACAATATTAATTAAACAATCCTCCATTGTTTAATTCTTCATCACATTTTAAAAACGCTTGGCAAATAACATAGACAAGGCCTTGATGTTAAAGTCGCGTGATAAAACTGACTATGTGACCTTCCGCCAAAATGTCTGTAAACGTATGTTTAGTCATTTTAAAAGTGTTTTTAAAAACTTGCGACAAATTAAAAAAACGAAGGATACTCTTCTATCATAATGGGTAAAAAAATGTAACGAACTTCTGGGTAAGGATTTAAATGTGTAAATGTAATCTAACTAATTTACACATTTAATGAACGAAAAAATTATCTTATAAAGAGAAATAAAACGTGATATCTAAAAGAAGAGTGTTTATTTATAAAAGTGCAATTGTAATTTTCCGCGAGATATCAGATTATTTGTTGTCACTTTATCCCGTATAAGCAGTTTAACCTTCACAGTCGATTGTAATGTTAAACTGAATCTAAGCCGTCGATATATGAGATTAAATTACATGATATTTTCTATACTTGGTCACAATGGATCATATACACCGATCATTGGACTCTGAACCTCTGAACTTATTTGATTTATGTTAAAACATATTGTCGCACAAATAAAAACAAATCACTTAACTAATTATAGTCATTTTTTTCACCTGTAAGAGCTTGTCCCACCAAATTGTAAATAGTCTGATAACAATCCAACGTGTAAAACATGTGATGGTTATATCACAATTTGTTCCGTCATCCGACAGTGACGTCATTTTTAAGCTATCTTAGCTATCATCCAGTAGTGGGACAGGACCTAAATTTACAAGAGTTATGGGCATAATTCTTTCGAATAAAAGAATATCAAATTATTCATGGATTGGCATTTCTAAGAGCTATTTAACAACTGATTATTTTATACTTAAGTAATCTCGTTAGGTAGCGGAAGAGAAGTTCTGCGAGACGACTATCGGATGCCGCGACGTAATGCTAGCGCCCACAATGCGGGACATCATACAGACGGAGTACTTCCGAGTGGTCGTAGTGGATGACGAGGATGCTGTTGAAATCTGTGGAGCTCTCAAGGTATGTATTCAAGTTCAAATCCATTAAGTGTTCTACACTAGCCAGTCGTGTTGGTAGCACTGAAAGTATTAAATGTGATTTGCGTACAAAGTCAAAAATTATTTTCTGCAATATTCAAAGCTTTTTATTGGTAACTTTAGAATGATTGTTAGTTAAAGTTTATTTTCTCATGTTATGAGATATGTTCAATTACAATTCCACGATGTTACGTTCTATAGCATACAAAGCTACACAAATTGTTTCTTCTTCATTATGTTTTACACACGTAAAATTCCATATAATTGTTTTTCGCAATATAATCATAGTCCAAATGTTCAGAACATAGTGGCGGTGGGAGCTGGCTTTGTGGACGGTCTGGGTTTCGGAGACAACACGAAGGCGGCCGTCATTAGGCTCGGTCTCATGGAGATGATCAAGTTCGTGGACGTGTTCTACCCGGGCAGCAAGCTTAGTACATTCTTTGAGTCCTGCGGCGTCGCTGACCTCATCACCACGTGTTATGGTAAGATATGCTGAGTAAATAAAATCATTATTGTGGTTTAACGAATGAAGGTACACAAAACTTTAGGTGTCTGCGGTAATTAACGGGATTTGAAGGTGCTCTTGCGTACAGTTTACTCCAATAGAAATAAGGTGGATAATCCATGACACCCTAAGAAGAAAATTGATAGAGTTTAATCTCCGAGTTAAAAGTTAAGAGAGATTTTGTACATTAAAAAATTGTGTTCCATTTAAATACACATTAAGTGTTGAATAGTGAAGTATCACTGAGGTTGGGAAACATTTATCAAGGCTGTATAAATGTGAATGTATGGGAAGTGTTATTTCTTTTCTGTGTATTGGCCTTCTTAAATTAATTCATAACAATACCGCTCACTTTACTAAGTGATTTGGGAAGTTGTAAATATTTGGTTCTTTAAGAATAAAAAAGATAATAAACATTGAAATAACAAACGTTAAGGCAATTTTTATTGATAACATTATTTTTACATAGTTTTTGCCATTAATTTTACCATCGAACTCAAATATAAAATATATTGATGATAGATAAAACATATTGATTTTCCTCGAACTTTATCGTAGTAATTATGTCAGTGATATTGCTGATGAAATATTTTGAAAATCTAAAGGGTTATTTACGTGTTCTGCCGATATGCTTACGAGTAGCGACTTCTATGTTACATGTAAAGATCTATAATCCACGCTGACGTTTTAATGAATTTACTAGTGTTGAAAATGCAATCTATACTTCTTTACTAATATAATAAAGTGTAAACACACACTTCTTTGTTGCCTAAAATCTCAGCAATTACAGCATATTCTCGAATTATTCTTTTTAATAAAAAGCCCTATACTTACGTCACGCTTTAGGCTATATATTTTCACGCCGTTAAACTTAGGGGTAGATATTTTGGATAAAGACCCTAATGTGGGAAAGAGACCATAAGTTGTTGCCAACATAAAGGAAGCAAGGTTGCCATGGTTTGACATCATATCATGTCATTTTGACATTTGCAATTGATAATTTGACAAATGTGAACAATAAAATTATTTTTTTATAATTCTATGCGGATGAAGACGCACGGGAACAGCTAGTATTAGTATAAAATCCATATGGCTTGTCTCGACTTCTAACCCTATTTTAGATAGGGATATATTTGTTTCCAAATAATTTGCCTTTTTTAAACAACAAAAGGCTTGAACTTGACAATTACTATGATTAATTCAAATACAAGGTATATGTACCTTTTCTTATTGTTATAGTTTATTGATAGACTTTGTGTGCTATGTATTGCCGCTAATTATTAATTAGTTGGAAATAAAGTGATACTAGTCATGCATACTTAATTTGAATTTTGTATTCTTGAATGTGTCTAGCGATATTCATGTAAGTAAGTGTACCGTTTATAAAGTTCATAATACAATTTTGCCGCATGAATAACATTAGGTTGCAGAAATCGATCTTTGTGATTTTTATTTTTATTGTTTTTCGATTTGTTCATCAACTTTTCAGTTTTGCTGGTAATGTTTGATTAAAATCTTAACGAAACAAATTAGATATTTAAAAGTTTTAAGGCTAATTATATAAAGAAATTAATTCATTGATTCTAGGAATTTAAAAAAAAGAATAATGCCTAACACAAGTAGAAAAATTCAGCCGCTGCTTTTTTCAAATAGTATTTTGGAACGCTACCAATTTTATGATTCGGTAAAAATTAGATAGCAACAAGTTTTACAGATAATAAAATGATACTGTAATACAAAAGTATTAGGACAGTAGAATAGTAGACGAGAATAGAAAATGTTTTCTTTTGAAAGCCTGTATAAGTTTTTAACATGCTGATTTTAAAATAATCTTATTTCCCGTTTTTGTATAAAGATTTCTTTTCACATTAGGTGTTAAAATAACCCGACCCGCTATGAGCTCTACGAAATTTCTTCGTTTCTTGTTAAGTGCACTCATACTTGACTGTCAAAGCGAGGGCAGTTGCGCGAAATAGGCTATGACCCAAATGACTCGTCTGCAGTATAACATCATTATTACCTTATCGATATCGATACAAAGGTCTCATAATGAGTTCACGGAATGTACATCTATTCTTTATTTAATGAACTATTGTTCTTACGTTCTACTAAACAGAAAACAATAGGGAAGATTAATTAATCAATATATTTTATCACTCGCTTGCGCCCGCGACTCCGTCCGCGTGGATTAAAAAAAACTAAAGTGAGTAGCCTATGTGTTCTTCCAGACTATTCTACACGTCTATGCCAAATTTCATCGAGATCCGTTCAGCCATTTAGGCTACACACGCTAACAAACATCCCTCCATCCATCTAAACTTTCGCATTTATATCAGTAAGATATATAGCCTTACAAATTGTCCAATAAAAAAAAATGAACGCGGTATAATTAATCCTAAGTTTAATTTTATACCGCATTTATTTGTAAGGGTGATAGACTCTTATTTGCCCTAAATCTATCTGATCTATTTCAGTTACTTGTATTTATCTAGGATATTTTGTCATCTCCATTTTAGGGCAACGTCATTAGCAGACAATTAGCACTTCATAACCGGATTTTATGGATGACAATAAAAATATTGTTGTTTTATCAGTTACATTATCCAATTATGATATGTGATTTATGATGCCTGATTGTTCATATCGCTGCTACAATAGGCTTATATGGAATAAAATGTATGCTTGTTAATATACTGTTTCTATTTAAAGTTGTTTTGTGATATTTTATTTGAACTATAACGCGTAATATTTATTTGACATTGAAGTAATGTCTTTTAAATGAAAAATCAATATTGACATCTTTGTTCTTTATATGTTCAATGAATAATAAACAATTCGATTGAATAAAGTAAAATTTGAATGTCAATGTAGGTTAAGTTACCTATACCGAAGCAAAATTGTTCATTTTCGATTTTAGGAAAAATTCTTGCCTCTAGACACTGATATGTATAAATGGATAATCTAAACCATTTCAATCTATCGCAACAGTTAGTGCCAAAATAGGGGAATTAAATAGGCACAAAATACCTCATGTAGCCTGTCTATTTATATAGATCAGTGTCTGTAGATGACTTTGCAGAACATATCATATACCACAGATGATGTAAAATAATGAATAGATTGCTATCATGTTAAAATGTAAGAAATACACACTGACTAGCTAATTTTTTCGCAAATGTTTTGATAAGCGATGTATCTGGTTGTATGGAAACGTATTTCGTTTGTATGTTTAATCGATATCGGTGGGTTCGTATCAACTTTTTCGTGTAACGTCCTATTTAGCACTCGGAGCGTTCTTATCGCTATATATTCAACGTTATTAATATGTCCTCTGCCAGATTACTAAATACTCAACAAATATTAGTTACGACATTCGTGTAATTTTATTGCACTTTTATCGTATTTATAAATTACTATCTTTCGCTCGCGACTCCGTCCGCGTGGTATAGAAAAAAAACTAAAGTAAGTAGCCTATGTGTTCTTCCAGACTATGCTCTACATCTGTGCCAAATTTCATCCAAATCCGTTTAGCCGTTTGTGCTACAAACTCTAAAAAACATCAATCCATCTATCCAAACTTTCACATTTATAATATTAGTAAGATTTGTTTGAGTTTGCGGAAAGAATTATATAAAATTTACGTTTTTATGTCAGGCGTTTTTACCTAATTCTATATTCATTACAGGCGGTAGAAATAGAAGAGTGGCGGAGGCGTTTGTGAAGACGGGTCGATCTATTAAAGAATTAGAAGATGAAATGTTGAATGGACAGAAACTGCAAGGGCCCATCACCGCGGAGGAAGTCAATCATATGCTCGCCAACAAGAATATGGAGAACAAGTGAGTAGTTTTTAATAAGTACTATGTCACTCTAACTCAACCTGTGATTGTATCACGTGAGATCTGAAAAATCACAGTGGCAATCTTAGTGGCATAATGTGATGAAATGTTAGTGGCATTAGACTTTTAATTCACTATTTAATTGCGATTTTAGTTAACTTTTAGTGTTAATGCTGTATTTTCATTTAGGTCCTTAAATTACAACGAGCGGTTAAGATACAAATACTTCATATGTAGTTTATTATACTGTTGAAAGTAGACCCAGTAGTAGAGAAGGTAAGAAGTAAAAGGTTAGCAGGGTATGGGCATGTTATGAGGAGGATTGAATCGCATGTTACAAGGAGAACGTTAGTTATGAATGAGGAAGGGTACATCGGTAGAGGTAGACTTAGAATGAGATGAATGGATTGCGTTAAAGGTGACATGATCAAAAAGGGTGTGATGACTGAGATGACGTATGATAGAGTTATGTGGAGAACAAAAACCTGTTGCGCCGACCTTACGGGAGTAGGATAAGGAAAAATGAATAGTTTATTATACCGTTAATGTATATAATTGGTTTATTGTCAGTATAATTGTTGCATAATATCGTACCCGTCAATCACACGGGCGCCTTGCTCATGAAATATCGCTGCCAGTGAATTTGAATTTCAAGCTTGACATATTTCCAAACGAGATATAACGCCAACATTTGCACGCCAGAATTTTTTTTTGGCTTTTCTCATAGTAAACCATCACGTGGTTATGATGTAAGACTCGTGAGGCACGTTGGAAGCACGTGTACGCTAAATGTTATTTTTATCCACTAGACTACTAAGTATTTAGCAATTAAGAATGTTTGATTTTCAATAAAAAAAGAATAAAAACGGCACAGTTCTGGAAATGTGAAAAATACGATACTTCTTGTAAAATGAACATTAATAGTTGGTTAAACAACTTAAGATTTAAAAAAAAGAATCAGCAATATTAACTGTATCGTGACCTCATAACGGTACATGTTAGATACGACAAGATAGATCGAAGTTGCGATTTTATGGTCACGATTATGGATTGGAAAAAGGTTGCACAGGATAGGTTTAATGGTTTTTATTAGATACTTGCTTGTGTCCGGGACTCCGTCCGCGTGAAATTAAAAGACAAAAACAAAAGCAAGTAGCCTATGTGTTCCTCCAGACTATGTTTTACATTTATACGACATACATATTAGACATCTTTGCCAAATTTCATAGAGATCCGATCAGCCGTTTGGCTTAAAAACGAACAAATATCCATCCATACATACTTTCACATTTATCTATATTAGTAAGATTAACATACTTAAATGATTTTATCCATCAAAGTATAGTATCCCGGTTTAAGCCTTGCAGCTGTTCTGGTAGCGTAATATAATCCACGTGACATTATTAACCTCGCAGATAATGCGTTCCACACGTCGTGTAATAATGTGGATTGAAATAGTTTGTCTTGGCGGTCATCCATGTTCAATTAGAGGTCAATGTTAACGTTAATTGGCTGGTTTTCACACTACAGTTCACGTAACCAATACTATAGCCAAAATTGCAGGGAACGGCTTTGCTTTTTAAAAGTATCATGAGGTGAAAACGTGATATCCATACAAAGAGATTAGGAAATATATAGAGGAACCAGAGTTGACTAGCGCTTCCTGATGTCCGATTTTAATGTCAAACAAAAAAATCAAACACCGAGAAGCGTTTCGGCGTGTCATATTTGACATTGAGATATTACCGTTCAAAGAAGTTACCGGTGAAAAAATTGTAGTTCTCTATGACTAGTCTATATATTTCTTAAATGTCTTTGTACTCATACAACTTAGTTTAGTTTTTTATTGCTGAGCTAACAAACTATAATCGTAAGGATGAGATTAGTTGACCAAGTTACTCGTACTTGCCAGTTGCTACCATAATTTTGTCCTTTCAAATTATATCTTCATTAGTTTGATCTCAATTGCTTTGTTTTTTCATTATTTAAAATTCATTCACAGATTCCCGCTTTTCACCGCCGTATTCCGTATCTGTAGAGGAGAGTTGAAGCCCAGCGATTTTATCGACTGCATCCGCAGCCATCCGGAGCACATGTAAGACCGACACTAACCGCTTCCTTCTGCATAGCTACTAGAATTATCTAGAAAATAACGTAGAGTAGCATCCAATAACTTATGTAAATAACATCGTTTATTTATGAACACTATATTTATGTATATTTTACAGGGTGCTAGTACTTAGATAACGGTTCTGTATGTAAGGTTGGATTGTTCGTTGTTTAAAGATTCTATTAGCATTGTATTGTACTTAGTTATTTATATCGATTGGGATTTTCTATATGTTCAAATCGTATGCGGGTTACTCGTTTGGTGATACTGTGAGTTCGCACTGCGGAAACATGTACAGTCGCGGAAATCCGCGGTGTTCCACTTTAGGAAACATTGCCTTGTTCATTGCAATGAGATAAATTCCCCTTCGTTATACAAATAACTAATTATATAACAGTGAGTTGTGTAAACGAAGGAACCATAAGAAAAAAAAATTAGCTTAAGAGCTGTGTACCACTAACCGACTTTTATTCATACATACTATAAGCTGCGTTGTATTGGTTTTTGTTCCGCGTCTCGTTTCAAAATGTTCAAAGGATTGTATATTTTAATGTGGAACACCGATAATATCTCCGATTGTACATGTTTTGATAGTGATAATTCACGGGTAGTGTAAAAGCATGTATTTATAGCATCGTTGTGTAAATTACTGACACCTGTTCTAATAAAGTTTTATATTATGTTGCTAATATTGAATATGGTGTTATCTATCGATGTATTAATCTGTCAAATAAGCTGACATTTTCATCCAATGGGGGTCGTTATCTAGTTTCGAGGTGCAAGATACATTGCAAATGAACGTTTTGAAGTGCTCCCTTATCAGATAGCGAAAATATTGATGTTTTTAATTGTATAGGCGTAAGCACACGGTTAAATAGTATTACAGTAAAAATGTTTGTATAACTAGCTCTGTAATGCACATTTTCTTTAACTATTTGCACCTTTTAGTCAGTAGATCTATGTATGTTGATTAAAAAATTAAAAAAATAACAAACTCCTTTCATTCTTACTGCTAATCCTATGTATCGTTTCTTACAAATTAAAAGGTCTCTACTAAAATCGTTCTAATTTGTGTTTTGTGCATGTTTTTGTTTATATGTGCTTTTTACGTTTTCAGATTCGCCCCCAAGAATATTAGTATCTATTAAGTTATCGATACAAGATTATAAAATCTTTTTTTATGTTTTTAACTGCTTTTATATTTACGCGTGGTAAATGTTGCTTTTTTTTCACTTTTACATATTTTTTAATCTATAAAAATATTTGCCGCGACGTAAAATTTTTATCTGCATGTTTTTATATCATTTGATTTTGAAATCCATATTAATAAAACATTTAAGGGATTATTGTTTATGATTTATTTTGATATCGATGTTTATGCGCTAACAAATGCTTTCCATGAATCATAACATTGCTTTAAAATCGATTTTAAAAACGTATAGTAACGTGTTCACTAATATTCTAGGAAACCGCTGACCCCCAAATGTTCTCTGTGAGCGGAATGAAGATATTCAATTTGTTTCACGCAAACATCGCCTACACGCCTTCATTTTTATCAAGCATTTTAATTATAATTTCAGTCATATTTAACATCCTTCATTGATAACAAAAAGTTTGGTAATCACAACACGCATCATTGGTCATACTGACAGACAAAATTTGTACAAAAATATTGTCATTAAAAATATAACTATCATGTTTTTGTACATTTTTTTCAGAGATAATCTACGTTTTTTTTGTATTTCACAATTTTTTATTCGATTGTTTAATGTTATCAATGTCCTATTATCTGGAATCGCTCAATATCTTTGGTGGAAAACTAAACATCATTTAATTTCGTAATCAAAGATTTTAACTTTACTGTTTGTAATTTAATTTTTGTCTTGACAGTTGCATGATTTTTTCATAATTCACTGTTGTATAAACAAAAAGTACATCTAACGTTTCCTTTTTTTTGTAAAGAATTTATAAATGTAATATTAAGAATTATGTGTGTTTGTTTCTATTTTTTATTGTTAATTACAGCTGTTGATAATTTGGCTGCTATCATTTCATTATAGTATTTTGTAATGTAGGTCCTTTTTAAGTCAATAATGTTTTTTTTTAATCTGTCAAGAATTTAATAGTCGTGTAAGACTAATTTATTCTTTTGCATTTTGTCTTTTTTTCTTTATTAACTAATTTGATTTTGTTAGTTTTTCCAGTGACAGTTTTATGATAATTTTAAGTATAAGTGATCAATGCAAACTTATCAATAAACTTTTAGATAACAAATAAATATAAAGAATTTTATAAAAATCTAATACAAATTACATCTTTTCTTTTACAAAGTATTGCATGTTGCATACAATTATAAAATTTATTTTTGTTTTGTGTTTAATAGAGTTGTGAAATATTCATAAGACTTATTAATTCATTCTAGTCTTAAAAATTGTTAAAAATCAACATTAAAATAGTGTGGTTATTTGAACATTTTGTAAATAAAAGTATTTTTATATTACTTGCCATACATAACATTTGCAAGTTGAATCATTTCACAAACATTTCATTGGACATAAAGTCAAGCTCCATATAAGAAAAACAGAAGCCTATATTTTTGTTAGTTTCTGAGGTTTCGTTGAACTTATCTTTTTCAGAGTACGGATTGTTAGAAAATCACATTGCTGTATTTGCTAAATGTGAATAAGGTAAGAAAGAATTTAGAGGCTTCTGTTTTTGTATTAGTACCATTGTATTGTTTTGTCAGTGTATTCACTCGATTATATTGCAATTTTTAATTATTAAATGATGTCTATTATTTGGAGAAACCAGTCCCATAGTGTTTAATCGATTTTTTTTAAAGGTGATAAAGTTTGTGAAGGGAAACTTTTGTTTTATCGAGTCTAGTCTTAAATTGTATGTTTTTAAAACTAATTTGAAATACTGAAGTATCCCTGTTCAGTCGACTATAGCAGTTTCTGAGGATATTTCTGATTTAAATCATGGGGAATACGCCTTGTTGTGACTTTATAGAATACAAGATTGGTTTTAGATGGTATTCATAAGTTTTTTAACATGTTTTTTTAACGTTTTATGTGTAGTCAAATCATAAGCATTTAATATTTCGTGTTCATATAAAACCTACAGGAATGTGTCGAATGTCGTAGTGGATAGTACACAGTGTGATTAACATGGAAGGTAAGTATAGTTTTAGAATATTAGATCATTTTCACTCAATTTCGATCTAAACACAAGTGTATTTTTTACTAAAGCATGTCTGAGTGGTCTTGCAAGATTATATTCTAATATTGTTCCTGTAATAATTTAGAATTATTTTATGAATTGAATTAATTCCAAATACGCACAATTTTTTCATATTTTTGTAGCTCCGAATCGCATAAGAAAAAAGGTAGATTATTACAATGTCAAACCTGAATTCAAAATTAATGTAATAATTTCCCCGCCATAAATATCGTGGATGTTGCTTGTAGAACGTCAAAACATCTCGGTGTTTGTAAATAAATGTTTTCGTATATCAGAATATTGTTCTTTAATGCATTTTGATTTCTCTTTCAGGGTAAAAGCCGCTGTGCAGTAAAACCAACAATTAAGTAATTAACAAAAAAAAATTCCGGCAATGAGTACTAACTTTAATTGAAAACAATACAGTATTGAAAAGTAGATTGTTGAATTTGTTAATAATAGGTTATGTAAAACCAAAGTTTTATGTAAATAGGTGTTTTGTTTGTATGTATTTAAATCGCTGCTTGAAGTAATGCCAAAGAGAGCTAGTTTAGTGCAGATAAATAAGTTTAAATGACCATTAGATTGGAATTTAAAAAGTTACAAAATCTTACACAGATTATGCTGACTTAAAAAAAAATGTATAGTAAGATACTTCATATTTTCTTCTACATTCATTGTTTTGAATTCGCAAAATTTTCACAAAATCATAACAAACGATGTTTTATTCACCTCCCACCAATTAGCGAATTTAATTATAGATTTTCAATTAAAATAGGTCATAGAAGAATATTCAGCATTCAAATTGAATTTTCCGTTACCAAGATCCTTTTATTTCAAACATTTGTAGAAAAAAAATGCAGTTTAAAAATAATGTCACAGTTAATGTTTTTAAATGGGTAAAGTATTTAGTTTAACAATTTTTTTGCAAGAAATAGGTAATAAAAGACAATTTTAAATGCTCAATGTGAATTGCTTGTCTGTAGTATAGTTTAATAAAAATTGATAGAATATGACTCGATTATTATTATTAAAATATGAAAAGTTTATACATGTTGTGTGTGTTGAAATAAATCATATTTACAATCAGAATTTGTCGTTTTATTTGTTACAATAAATGTCCTGTAAACATAACTATCTCAGATTCTTCAAATAAAATAGTCTAAAAATTAACCACCATGTTTTACTATAGTAGTATATAAAATATTTGCACACTCTTGTTAGTTTTCCATAATCTCTACACAATACATTTGAACAATTGTAACTAAAATTACTGTAACAAAAATTAAAATCACATATTTATCACAAAATATTTAACAAACCATTAAATGTTGCTTTTCTAATGGAACATTCTTAATATAACCATTATAAAAATCTAAAGCAGTGATTTCTTTTTTTCCTATTATTCTAAGTGATTTAAAATGTATATATCTATTATCCCTACATAGTATCCTTATAGATTTAGTTCTTTCACAATACTGAAGAGCGCCCGGAGGTCTATTTGGTTCAATTTCATTATTGTCATCTAAAAATGCATTGAATAGTTTCATCTCTTTGTCCCTGAACTTTGTTTTAAGAGAATAAAGACCATATATTGCTCTATATAAGTTGTACACTTGAATAGCGCTCATATCTGACCATCTAACTTCACATATACTTTTGTTAATTTTCTTTGCTGAAACAAAAAACATACATATTAATATTAAATTTGTGTACTAATATTATTCCTACACAAAATTTTAAAGTGATATAACTCTACCATAGGTTACTCCTTCATTGCTTTGAGGCTGAGCATTCTGTAAACTATGGGGTAAATGCCTTAAGCAATCCACAAGCATATTTGCACCAATTGTTGACAATTCCTCTGTCAACTCTGGCAATTTAATATCATTTGAAACTGTAACTTTCTGTTGACTTATTATTTCACCTGAAAAAAAAAACATTAAAGTTAAAAATCACATTAAAAAGTATGTATCAATGAATTACAATAAACTCACCAACATCAAAAATGTTTGGTTTTATTTTCATAAGTGTAACTCCAGTAACTTGGTCACCATGTTGAAGAGTATAAATAATAGGTGCGGCTCCTCTCCAGCGAGGCAGGAGACTTGGATGAACATTTACCATTCCCCTGGAGTAGACAGGTTATAACAATAAGTAAGACACCACCATGATACTTTATAAGATAAGAGGATAAGTTAACAGTCTCTTGGAGAAAAGATAAGCAAGCACTTGATTCATATATTCTTATAGAGTCAGTGTGTTTAAAATTCTACTCATTTATGGTATGCATGAGAAACAATGATTTAAATTATGACAGTTTAAGTGTACTTGTTTTTATACTCTAAAATATACAAGTAAATAAAAAATACTTACAAAGGAAATTTCATGAGTAGATCATTTTTAATCAGGTGTCCAAATGCTACAATTAAACCAATATCGTATTCTCCAATTTGTAGATTTTGTAAAGGCCATTGTAAAGTGTTTATATTTTCTAAGCAAGCATATTTTTCTATAGCTGATTTCTTTTTGGAAGTATTTGCTGTGACTAGAGAAATACGGTCAATTTTACTTTCCTCTTTTCTAAAATGGAATAAAAAGTTGTAAAACAAAATATGTAAACGATAATCACACATATTTATAAGAACTTACCGAAACTCATTTACGCGTTTTAGGCTACTGAGTGCAATGCTGTCGGACCCAAAAAATAGGACATTATACGGTTTTTTATTACAGAAAAATCTAATATTACGAGTATTTTCTCTTATAATAAAATTAAATAAAATATGTGATAGGTTATGAAATTTATAAGTCATATTTGTTTATGACATTGACATAAAGTCTGTTGTTTTGGTTACTACTGTCAAAATAAGTGACTCTGATTGCGTTCCATTTTACGAGTCGGAATCAAACATTTCGCTATCCATTTAACTATGAATTACGGAACTGAAATATCACACCGCATTATAAGCGTATAAGTAGGTTGAGTTTTGTTTTGATCTTTATTATCTTCCTTCAACGTATTAGTAGAATTGAAATTTATTTAATGGGTTAACATATTGCTTATAGAACTAACAGCGGTCGTCCGAAATTGGTCCGAACATCTTTTTCAGTAGGGTTGTCGTTGATCGTTTTGGCGTAATAGTCATTATATTGTTAGCTTTTTAACTATTTTTGATGTAGTCTGTATTCTTAAACTTATTTGTTAATCTGTGCTATTTATCAATACAGTCATTTTTATGAAAAAAAATATTGTTAGGAAAATATTAGGAAACGGATGGAATATTTGGGGGTAGTTTTATAAAATATATGGCAAGGAGTGGCTCGTGCTCAGTTGTAGTCTCGGCGCTCAGTCGCCAACAAGCTCAGTGTTTTACTAGTCGTCACAACGGAACGTTCGATATATTTGCGTTGTCACATTAGAGTTCAGTTTGTTTTAAAGTAATTTACAAGCATTGTTAATAGGGCCGTGCGTCTATATTTTAAAGGAAGTCATTTGTGTCGAAATATGTAACAATACCTTGTGTTTATGAAATCCGATACAATTACAAATTTTTTAAATAGTAATGTGTGCTACTGCAATAAAACACAGTTGAATAAATAGTCACATTTATTTTTAGGTGAAAAATTAAAAACTCTATATGCTTTTTAGAAGGTAAGTTGAAAATTATCTTTCTATAACACATTCTAGAGTCAAATTGTCTTGTTTAAGAATACATTTAATGTATTTTATAGAGTTTTTTTCTTAATTTTGCTTTTAAGTAACTTTAATACTGCATTAATTATAGGTTCAACATGCAACAAGGATGTAATGTGAAGATAGTATTAAAACGTGTAAAGAAAGTTCTTAACATAAATCGAGAATATGAGAAGTGCAAATTTTCACTTGAAGAATTCAAGTCACAATTTCATTAGAGATAAAATGCTTTTATATTTTGAAAGCTTTTAATATTTATGTAGTTATTATTTTAATTGCTACTAAAGCTAGTTGGTAAAGCTAACACGAATAGGAAATAAGCTTTTTCAACTTCATTCTGAAACTTGTATTAGATATTTTACAAAGTTTACCATCCCAGAGCAGCATAAAATACGATAATAGTTAAACCCGGGTTTTTGTGCCATAAGTGATCATAGTTCGTCATTGATGTCTCAATTTCTTATTAATTATGGATGTTTCTGAATTTAAAAAGGACCCATTTAAAGAAAAAGAAGAAGTTCCTTGACACCTTGTCACTATCAATGCATTTTCTTCTTGCCTTCGTTCATCCTAAAGGTCTGTTTTTCAGTACACTTAGTAATCCCGCCCTGGTTTTTGTCATCATCTATAATTTTTATAACTAATGTGATACTATCATCTATCGTGACTAGGTTTCACCCGTGACAATAGAACATACCTAAACATTTATTTACATAATAAGAAGTGCCTTCGAATTGCAATAAATATCACTACTACGTCTACAAAATATACGCTTAATGATTTTTGTAATATTAATACTATCCAAAAAGAAAATTTTAACATTTCACTGCCCCGCTCGTTGTGATGATCTTCTTTGGAAACTTCTTTTTTTCGAAAACTGTGGTTTAGTGTACCACGAGGGTGGGCTAACGACGCTCTCTTCGAAACTCTTCAAACTTGCACTTCTCTGCGAGCCGTCGCGTTCAGAGATCCGCGACGATATCGTTTCTAAATTATAACTAGTGTTTCTATTTAAACCAGTTCGGAAAGGAATGTCTTTCATTTCAAGTATTTCAACATCTGTATCGCTGAAGTCTTTGCTTGGTCTGTGCATCTTGCTGGAATCGGTATAATAACCAGTAGTTCTCAACGTACCGCTCATACGCTTCGATTTATCCCTGTATATTATTTTCTGTAACTCTTTACGGAATTTAGGATGAGTTATGATATAAATAAAAGGGTTAATACAAGCTGCAGTCTTACAAAATAGCGCTGGGATCATCGAAGCCGTGGGGGTTATTAGGTTCTTTTTACCGAATATGCCCAAAAGTGCCACAATGGCGTAGGGTGTCCACGATATAAAAAATAAAGCTATTACAATTATGACTAATAGCGCTAATTTAATTTCGGCTTTTCGTTTAGTTTGTTCTTTTACATGTCTCGATGATAATCGTTGTTCTTGATTTTTTGATGACATATTTCTTTTGCAAACGACCACTTGTAGTATACTTGTGTAACAGAAAAAAATCGTGCAAAATGGCAAGAGCCAAGCTCCACAGAAAAATGCGAAGATGAAATAGCGCGGTCCTAAGTCTTCTGTAAGGTAGTCGAAGCTGCAACTCGTTAGGTACCCCTCTGGCACGTAATGTCCATAGCCGATGTCTAAAGCCGGTACTGCAGAAAATATAGCTGCGTAGATCCAAGCCCCCACTGCCAGCATGCGGGCTCTTACTGCGGTAAGTGCTGTGAGGGGCTCTAGCGGACGGACAACGGCCCAATATCGGTCCAATGCTATCGCTGTTAGAGTCGCAATCGATGTTGTTCCAGTTAAACCTCCCAAGAAACCATAAATGACACAACCTGAAATATTAAGTTAACTATTTTAATTTAAAATTGTTTAAATCATTACAATCGCCAAAGAGAATTAATTGTATATTGATTGGAACCTACGAATTATTAAATTATAAATAGTTTGTTAAATTAAACATTTTATTTTGAGTTCGGCCACCTTGAAGCTTTTTTTATCTAGGCACGTAACCTTACTTCCCACAAATAACATATTTTTTTAATTGTTTGAAAGAAAAACATTTCCGTTACTAGTAAAATGTTTTATAAAGGTTAAAACATAAGCGTGTAATAAATTATTTATAATGTATTTTAAGGGGGATACTTACCAGTTTTACCTAATGCCGGGCCGAGGTTAAACGAGTTGAAAATAAATATAGGAGTTTTAGCGAGCATTATGAAGTCGCTGAGAGCCAGGTTCGCGACGAGGATGTTACCCGCCGTCCGCAGCGTGCGACATCTGAAATATAAATTGATAACTAGCCTCTTTTACCCACGATCAAAGATATGTTGACATACGTGAACCGAGTATTAATTTTTCCGATAAACAGTTGTGTTATTTTTCTTTTTATTGTTGTTTACTATCACACGATACTAACGAAAGGCCTCTCTTGTATTCTGTCTGTGTTCTAAAAAGGTTTTTTCCATTTAAAAGAAAAAAACACTTTGTTGGTATTCAAGCTAAGTTACTGAATAGTTTCTCAAAACATTGATTGGAAATGTTTATTTATTGATAATTTAAGAGGTATCAATATTTTACAAAATCAATGATGATCCTATAATTTGCCTTTTCTAAAATAAGCTCTGTGGATTTAATTAACAAGGATTATAAATTTACGATGAAGGGATCCCTACGTTATTTTAAAGATTACTTGATCTCGAGAAAGTAGCAATAAAGGTTGCAGATAAGCTTCTTAATTTTGTTAGCGAACTTAGATTTAAGGACGGATATTTTAGGTTCGTTATCGCAATTGTTATTTATAGGATCCTGTTGTCTTCGTAACGAACAATTAAATAGCAATTTAAATAATTTCAGGCTAAAAATGTATTGGTTTTCCGACTATATACAGGTAATTTCAAGAAATTGCCTTAGTTTCATTGAATTATGTACCATGAAATGTATAATCCTGAATATGCTTTCAACAAATAAAAATATTGGGAAGCTTTCAGCAAGTTTGTTTTAGTATACGAAAATAGATAAAGTTATTACAATTATTAGCTGTGAAAATGAATACAACTTTCCTTTGAGTACGATTCTCGTTTTAGTCAAACTAATAAATTTTCTTAACGAATTCGTGACAAGTGAAGTAGCAAACAGAGAGAATTTAAAATGCGATAAGAACGTGACGTAAATATCTCACAGGAAAACCATTCAACGAGACCTTACAAGAGATTGCGCCGTTCGACTCCTTTGAAGTAATACGTATAACAAGTTGTACATTTTGTTGAGTTATTTTTAAACATGTGCTAATGTTATTTTCAACTGTGGTAACCTAAAGTATATATATATATCGATATGTATGATTATCAACGAAAAAATCTACGCAAGTTATACGTAAATGAAAGTTTTTGAAATATGTAATTACGTCAATTAATACTAAAAAACTAGAAATGCGTCAGAGCCAATGTAAAAAATCGTAAATTCTTTTCTTGAAGTCCGAATTGTTAGTTAGGAATTAGTATATTAATAACATATCAGGATTGCAAACGGCTGAAGAATTTCAAGCTTAAGATTGTGTGAATTTCGGAGCTCTGAAATTGACCAGTAAACTAAGCAGAACTATATAGTTATACCTTGATAAAATAAAATTAAAGTCTTTTTAAAGGAGACCCTCATTAGACTTGTATTCCATTAGATGCGAAACGAGGGTTGTAACAGCGGTACCGACTGACTAGTGAAGCTCACACAAAAGATATTTAGACGATAATGAGACAACCTGAATGTTTGAGAAAACTTTTTGTAAACGAAATAACGTTTACGTCAGAGAACTTTGTATATTTAAGATACATTTAAAAAAAATGTAATTTGAATTAAAAAGGTTTGTTTTTTTATATGCAAATATTTTCCGAATTTTTACGTTAATTTACGTCTAAATTAAATTGGTCCAGTTGAATTGAATGTCAGAAGTGAATGAATCGCACAGAGGCGGATATGATAGTGATGACGAATGAAATGCATATTGGAAAAAAATACTGCTTTTCAAAAAATATTGTAATATTTTACATTTATTCATAATTTAATTGATGTGCACTTGGAAACTGCTGATAATTTAAAAACGAGTCCAGCTCGCATTTATCTTCTTGTATTGAAAAATATTTTTTTACGATTTACTAAGTAGTATTACATTTCTCCAATGGAAACCCATGCTTAATCCTTAACAAGACATTGTTAACATATGAATTAAAATCAAACATCAGCGCTATAAATTCGCCTTAACCGAAACTTGGCGTATAGCAAAATTTACACCTCGAGAAAAGAAAGTTATTTTATTACACGGCAATAAATCGTGGCATGAACGCTCGTAGGGAATACGTGAACTTGTGCATATTAACTTTAGTAATTATATTTTGTAAGACAAGATATTTGGATTATCAAGATTAATTCTATACGGCCCTCCAGTAATCGTACTTTAACCCCTCGACTGCTTTATATAGATGTTTTTGACGTTCTGGAAATTATTTTTTTTTTTATCGCAAGAATGATGTTGGAATTATTTAATCTACTAATTTGCATCATGAGATGGTAGTAATTTTTTAATATATGTAATAAAAAGGAGGAAATAAAGCATTGTTTTTGTTCGATTTATTGAGCCATTACTTTTATAGCGTATATCCATAAGTTTTATGAAGTTTCAAACATAGTAAACATATAGTTTTGTAACGTAAAAAAGTGTTAAGATTATTGCTTAATTTTTTTAAAGTAGTAACTGACTGCAGTTAAAAAAATATATTGAATATTAATATAATCATAATATATTTCTTATTACAAAGTTTAGTTAAATAATTTGATTATAAGAATTTTAATGAAATTGGAACAGGTTTTAACTAACTGTAACATTGACCCTGATCCCAAACAAGTAGCCACTTAATAAGTTTCAGCAGAGATGACCTTCAGTCATTCATCCGTACAGAAGGGTCTCAAAATTCTTATCAAAAAACTTATATTAAACAAAATTTGCTTCAAATATGTGTTTACTGTCTTTTAATTATTATATTTTAGTAACAATCACGTCAAAATCCAGTGAAATGACAAGTTTACAATAATGTTCAGTATAACATCATACGATAAATAGGATTCCTAAATTGTAAGATCTAATAATAGCTGATTTTTGCGTTTTGTTCTTACTAAATTATATGATTTACTTCTTTTTATTAATTGCATATAACAAGAAGCAGAGCGTCGGTGGCTTAGTGGTTTAAACACTGGACTTGTAATCTACAGGTAGTTCGAATCCCGCCATTTACCAATGTGATTTTCGATTTTTCGATTTTCATATGTTATGTACATATGAAAATTCGAAAAATCGATTTATGCGACGTTCTTACGGTGAAGGTGAAAACATCATGATGCAACCTGCACATATCGGCGAAGAAATTCAAAGATATGTATGTGTGAAGTCAACCAACCCGCACTGGGCCAGCGTGGTTGACTATGGCCTAGTCACCCTTTATTAGGGTAGGCTCCGACCCCCTCGGTGGGGACGTATAGTGAGCTGGTGATGATGATGTGATATGACAAGAAGAACGTTAGTTATGAGTATAGAGGTACACTGGTAGATCTAAAAAGAAATGAATGGATTGCACGTAAGGTGGCATAATCAAAAGGGTGTGATGACAAGTAGAGTAAGGTGGGAGAGATGATATCTTTCTATGTACAAGTATCAATCTATACTAATAATATAAAAAGGAAAAATTTGTATTTTTGTATGTATTAAAATAACTCAAAAACTATTGGGCCGATTCAAAAAATTCTTTCACCATCAGAAAGGAAATTTATCTATGAGTAACATAGGCCATATTTTGTATTATTTTTTATTTTTATGCGGGCAAAGTCGCGAGCAACAGCTAGTAGTATAATATTTTTTAAGCTAGACCAAGGTAGCTAGTTAGAAAACGAATGGTTTTTATCGCTTGTCATTTATCTTACGTGCGTAATGATATGTGAAACAGTCAATATTTCACTTTTATTGTTGTAGTTGGCTCCTGTTAGGCGAAGAGGACATCAACCAAAGTGTCAACAACACTACTCTATGAATTATGTAACCAATTTAATATTATTAAGTTGTCTACGTTGTTACATTGAGATATTTTATTTGTACCTGGGGTGAAAAAAATGTATTCTAGAAATAAAGTTTAGTTATATAGCTCATAGTTTATATTTGTTATACAAGAAACTAATGTCACCAAATATTTCAGTTCTGAGCCTAACTAGCACACCTAAATACATAAATACTAGACCTATCTATTTGCCAAAAACTTTGGCGATCAGTTACGTTTATGACTCGCTTTGGGAAAATAGGGTCTAATTCTTGATCATTTCATCAAACTTCATACCTTCTCTGTTTATATTACCGAACTCTTGACGAGGTAATATTTAGTAACGTTACAAAAATTCGTTGTAATATGGGTACGTGGACATGTAGATTGATGAAAAATGTATCAAGAAGGTTTCCTGTAGGATGTAGTTTCTAAAGGAAAAGCCTTTTTTCCAAAGAAATGGTGGTCAAAGCTACCTAACTTTATATTAATTTTGCTGATAAGGTCGATATCGGGATACGGGCATCCCTATGTAAGAGAATAGAATGTGGAAATGATAAGAATTTCGAATGAATTGAAAGAAAACCGCTCATGTGTGAATCCTTTACGATTAAATACCATTATTCTGTTAGTACATTTAGTTAAATTACGCATTAATTTATATAAAAAAAGGATTTAATGTCATATTTTCTACTAATTAAAATAATTATTGACGTTTTGCACGTGCTGGTGAGAAAAAAAATGTTATTATTTTTATCTTTACATCTTCAAGGTCTTATTATTTATGCATAAAACAATCATTTTATTGCAAAAAACAATAAAAGTTAACACGAAGGTTTCATTCTAAAATACAGTTAACGAACGAAGGTCGACAATGTTGTTTACATTTTATCATATTAAGCCTTTCCCTCAAGTATTCTTTTTTTTTCTTAAAATCTTGTTACATCAAGTTCTTAAAATTCTTTTTAGCCAATAATTTTACCTGAAGAGGTGTAAATATCCTATATTTGGATAAAGTCTCTTTAATTGTAAAGTAATTAAACAACGAGTATACAATTTAAATGTTTTATAGAATAATTTTATTACAGTCGCGGATTGATTACGGAAAAATAATTGTAATAATTACGTCAATTTATATGCATACTGCGAAGTAGTATTATTTTAACGACATTTGAACATGTTATACTAACGCATTAACGCTTGTACTTTTGTATTCGACTATGCAGTCAAGTTAGTAAGGTAAAAATAAGGCACAAATACAAAAAAAAACGAAAGTTATCTATATCTATACTCTATACTATTATAATAAAGCGTAAACAGGTAAACACACACTTCTTTGTTGCCTAAGATCGCAGCAATTACAGCATATTTTCGAATAACTCTTTTTTTATAAAAAGCCCTGCACTTACGTCACGCTTTAGGCTACATATTTTCACGCCGTTAACCTTAGGGGTAAATGTTTTGGATAAAAACCCTTATGTTATGCCGATGAAGTCCATAAGTTGTTGCCAACATCAAGGAAGCAAGGTTGCCATGGTTTGACATCATGTTATGTCATTTTGACAATTTGCAATTGCGAATTTGACAAATGCAAGCAATAATTTTTATGCAGATGAAGCCGCACGCGAACAGCTGGTTCTTAATAATTTAGTACCTTTACCAGCGTTAGGACAACGTACAAATTATTTATCCATCGCTCGTTAAATCTGTCTAATTTCAAAGCTATCGCAACGACTGTTCTAATATGTTTGTGCATGACTTTGCTACGGTAATGGGCAACTTTATAGTTGCGGTCGACAGATGTGGACCTGAATTATGCTCGCACTATGTTCTATGAAGCAGACGCATCGATACTTTAGACATGATAATGTTCTAGGTTATAACGTAGTCGAACAATATTTTTTTAGTATTAGTATGTATTGTTAAATATGCTGAGTGTTGGCTATACGGGTAAAAAATGATGGGTTTTTTGTAACATATTTTGAACTCAGAATTTTAAGAGTACTAAAGCAGCAGTAAGTATAGGGTTCTAAAAGTAGAAATCTGCCAATTTACATGAATGAAGTTTTTTTATCATTTACAAACGCCATTTATTCAACTTACTGTAATTTAATATCTTCAATTTGTATCCCTCATTAATTTAAAATAAATATTTCTTTAATATAAAAAGATGAACGAAAAATAGCTAAGGTTCACTAATGGCATCTTATTTTAAAACATTTCTAAAAGCCAACAAGGCTTTCTTAATAAATTAGGATTATGAACCGTTTATAACAAGCATTAAGCTGTAAGTGTCTATAAAAATCACAATAAATCAAAATAATGAAAATATTACTTTGAGAAGTCATTAAAAGACAATAACCATCAAATAAATAATATTTCCCGGAATTTTCCGGTTATCAGGATTTTAAAAGTGGTAGCGATTATATTTTTACCAAAGCAGAATCGTGATTCAAAATATTTTAAAAAGCGTTTTCATTTCATTATAACGCAAATAAGGGACAATGAAAATCAATTGAGTCCGTTTGTTATGAGTCTTAATACCTTGATATAGTAAATGAATTGGAAATTGAAATGGCGACATGAAATAAAGGTGGATTTTCATTGTTGTTTTTATAAAGATCGGTCCTCAGCGTTGTGTCGATTTCTTACCGTAGGGTTTAATTGAAAAATCAGCAAACTAAACGTCAGAATACAAGGTATTTCGGTATTGGAATTTTGCGGTATACATTGTGATCTCACCACTATTCCAGTGAGTTAAAAATGCGTTGTTTCATAATTAAAGGCGGTTAGTTATACGAAAATGTACTGTTATTGTACGCACACAACATTGTGATCTTCCATAATGAGTTAAATTAGTGAATAGGTACTTATATTGAAATAAATGTCCTTGAGATATTTTTATTTGCGTAAACACATTCAGTTTACCGGCCCACTGTCACCCAGGAAATAATATTGACATTTGTGTTGCAATATAAAGACCATGGTTCAATATGTTAAGATATCGTTTAAAATATCTTTTTTATTCATAACAAGTTTTTAACAGATCGATATTGTAATATAAGCTACGTGAGTAATCATTTTAAGTATAACTTTGTGAATAATTGTACATTATATTGAACTGACCTGCAATACATATAAAGTACCATTATGTTTCCGAAACAGCCAGTAACCAGTATGGCGATGTAAATACTGGCCAGGGTGTAGTGAATAACAGGCGGAGGAGGAGAGAATCGAAGCCAATGTGGGTTTATCATGAACAGATATTCATCACTGAACCATCCATTTTCCTTCCACAAATGTATTGGCCATTTCTCTTTGAATCTCGCGATAAGTGCCAGACTTATCGCATCTGTGTCTATCATTGATATGTTTGACACATTAGAGTAAGTTATACTTTCATGCAAACTCCTTTTTCTTATGTTGCTAAAACTTTCTTCCACAAAAAATCTCTTAATTCTTCTCCTCTTCTTCCATTGTTTTAATTTATTTGAGCAACGCCACAAGAAATCACTTTGACACTTAAATGGACTTAATATCACTGATTGATTGTATTCACGTAAATCAAACATTGTATTATTATGTTCGTAAACGTAGTTTATTTCTTTACTGTCTTTTAATTCACTTATATTACTTATATTACCACATCGCACGATAATTGGTATAATAATTACAACGAGTTTTAATATAAGTGACATGTTTGCCGCGAACAATATTCAATGAGTGAGGAAAGCTTGAGCACAACCGTTCGCGGCGCTTTCCAAAACAAAATGTTACAGATATTGGCTCACATTCACTTCGCCGTCTGGATGCGGCGAATAAATGATTTTTATATGTACTACGTTGTCTACGATTATAAATATACATTTTACAACGTTTTAAAATTGTCGCATATCGCATAGATCAGTCATTTCATTCTTTCATTGTGAAATGTTCGCTATTAATTTTATTATATTAGCTGTTGACCGCTTGTAGTGACCGATTGCAAAAAAAATCAATGCAATCGTAATTCTTTGGTTTTATCCAGATTTTATTAGTACAAAATTGAATCCATAGTTTCGTAACAATTTAATATGTTTATAGTTAATTTTACAGGTTGCATGGTGTTAATTCAATATCTATGTTCCTGAAGTATTTATTGTGTCTGTCCAAATGTCAAAGTACCCTTTGTTTCAATTACGAGTGACACTATTATTTTTCCACCGATCTGTTCAGACACGAACAGCTTACATTATTCAGAGATCTAGCAATTGTGTGAAAACAAGTATTAAGTATTGTGGATTTCTTTAGCTTTAAAGTGAGTTCGTAGTTCAGTATGAGAGTATTTATTTTTATTGGCCTACATTTCTCTGCTTAGATTTGTTCATTCTGATTTAGAGTTTATTAAGTTCCTATATTATAGACATGTCTGCTAGACATGACAGTTTTGTAAGTAGATTTTTATTAGATACGAGCTGTTGCCCGCGACTTCGTCTGCGTGGTATTAGAAAACATACGAACTATATAAATTACAAAAAGTTACGTATCCCTTGGACATTGTTTTATATCTGTGCCAAATTTCAACAAGATATGTTGAACCGTTTCAGAATGATCGAGTAAACATTAAAAAACTAAATTAATGAATCCCACGGGAACCGTAACTATTCCCGGGATAAAAAGTAGCCTATGTGTTCTTCCAGACTATGCTCTAAACCTGTGCCAAATTTCATGGAGATCCGTTCAGCCGTTTAGGCTACAAACGCTAACAAACATCCATCCATCCATCCATCCATCCATCTAAACTTTCGCATTTATAACATTAGTAAGTCTTTCGATTTATGCAATAATTAAATTAAAACTAGATAAACAATCCAACTGACAAATTAGCGCGTGTACATTTACATAATAATGTTTCTGTTTGAACATAGAATTACAAAGTTATGGTAATTGCCTATACTTTATACCTTTATAGAACACTATAAAAGTAAGTCATCATTTTAATGCGGCTGTCGTGTTGTTTATAAAAGGTTTAACTTCCGTAAAAACCTTGTACATGTCTCGTTTCTTTTCCTTGTTATTTTAATAATTGTGTTTCGTTTTAGCATCTACTTTATCAAGTTACCGTTTATTTTACTGTAAAAAAATATATTGACGCACGCTGTTTTAAAAGGAACTATACATAACTGTTTGAAATTATGTTAAAGTGCTGGAGAGTGTATCGGAACGTAAACGTGTTGTTTATTTAATAAATATAGAAAATGGCAGTGATTAGAAACAATGGTTAATAATTAAACTTCATATCTTTTTAATATGTTACATGCTTGATTGCTCTTAAGGTGGTTCATTAAAATATCTTTGTTTTAACTTAATACAGTATTACACTATTTATGTTATTTATATCACAACAAACTTCCATTTTGGGAACTTAGTAATGAGGTAATTGATATTGAATGTCTTCGTATTTGATGGTTGGAACATCTGTGAAATTTTCGCTAATTATATCGGGTGCATTCGAAGTTAATGCCACAAAGACACAAATGTTATTTCAACTCCTGGACTTAAGCCCGTAACACACTTTTGGTTTTGATTGCACTGTTTTAACTCTACAGTTCGACTGCGAAAGTTACAACTGAAGGAGCTTCGGTGTCTTAAGAGGTCACTAAGCGAGACCCTAAATGTACGATAAAATAATATATGCACGTGAAAGACAAATATAATAGAACATTGTATTTTTAAATAATTTCGGTAAATTGTCACATATCGCCTTCACCGGTATAAAGTTTTATCTAAACATTGTATCTCGTAAAGAAGGCAGTAAAAAAGTTTTGGCTTTAATTGCTTAACACAGCATGGTTTTATCGTAACTATAAGCTGAAGTAATTTTTTTCTCGTGATCCTAAAACTTTTACTACGGTTGAATTGACTTATTTTAGTTCCAAATAAAGCCATGGTTAACGCAATGATGTAACAAGATACAGGAGGAGAATAAAATGTTTCTATGTATTGCATTTTATTGTCTGTGGTAATGGTTAATTTATTTCCGATGTTGAAAGTTAGAATAGAAGTTTTATATGTTCTAATAATAGTTTTATTGTAGGCTACCCGTTGCGATATGATATCCATTTTCTTTATTGTTTTGTTAATGTTTCAAAATATACAAAGCAGTAAAAAACAATGATATAATAATGTGCTATTTTATCCTATCAGTTAGTTAACGATGATTATGGTTCTAGACTTTTAAACATGTTTACTTACTTGAAATACATTAAAAGCACTATTATGTTGCCCCAGCCGCCGACTGTGCAGAACAAGACGTACATGCTCGCCAAAGTCCTCTGCCACGCGACCCCCGGCGGCGCGAACTGCAGCCAATGCTCGTTTATTACATCCAAATAATCATCCGTAAAATAACCATACTCACGCCATATCCAAAGCGGCCACGTAGCTTTGAACTTGGCAATCAAACGATTATGTCGCTCTGTTTCATTGGACCTCGAAATGTTTCTCATTCCATCTAAATCCGTTAATTTATCTGTAGTTTCTTTAGTATTGTTTACTTCGAAATCGTCTCTTCTTATACGATTCAACGAGATGATATCCACATAAAACGATAATGTTATATCTGGCCGAGAATATGGTAGGATATTTGTTATTTCAGCACTGCATAAAGTATCTAAAATAACTGTTGTTATTCCGAGCAAGAGAACAACATTCATGTTTACGTATGATTTCTATTAGCGTGTGCTTCCTTCGAGTTGCAGGAACGATTTGCTGAAGGTAATGCGATGTAGAGGTATAGTCAGAATACGTGGATTTTTAGACGTCCCCGGGGACCGTTTCTGATCCATACATAAATTGGATTAAATTGGCTCGCTTTATGCTATACCTCATCAATTCTTAATAAAGCTGATTATCTTGATTGGAAGGTCATCGGTAGTTACGAGTATGTACAAGAAGAAATATCTATAGTGTTCATGATTATGAAAAAAAAAACTAATTAATAAATATCACTTTGTGGATTGTTATATCATAAATGATATCACTATTTTTGGTAGATGTACTTACTATACTAAAAGATCGGATGAGTTACTCTTTTTAGTAAAACAATGACAACGCGACTACAATAACATGTGACAAGCGTAATAGTATAATGTTAATGTCTCTTGATTATAAAATTACTGTACACTGTATGAAAAAATCCAGGATGGCGTTATTGAATTTAAAGCATGTTATATAAGTGTTAGATATATCAATTTTCTCAAGGAAATGAGAAATTGCAATGTACGATATCTACCATGAAACCCTACAGTATACACATGTTTTGATTAAATTATACAAACATAACAGGACGCCTGACTTGCAGGAGTACCCTTATTATGGAAACAAAAATATGCAGACAGTGTTAGAAATGGAATTTGCACACTGAAATGATAAAGTGATTCGTGTTTTAATTTTAAGAAAATGTTGTTGTTAAATAATGCATATGCTACCCACTTGTTTGTCTACTGCTTTATTGAAATAGAATATTGCAAGTTTTATGGATAACTAGCTGTTGCCCGTGATATCGTCCGCGGGTGTCAGAGTATTTCTTGCCGAGTTCTTGTGTGGATATAAAAAATATGTCTCTATGGGCTTTTGTTTTCTTTTTGTCAGCATGGAAACCATTCGGGCTTTCAGAAGTGTAACATCCGTCCATGCAAACTTTTACATTTACTTTTAAGTTATCTATATCTATACTAATATAATAAAGCGTAAACACACACTTCTTTGTTACCTAAGATGTCAGCAATTACAGCACATTTTTGAATTATTCTTTTTTTAATAAAAATCCTACACTTGCGTCACGCTTTAGGTTATATATTTTAATGCTATTAAACTTAGGGGGTAAATATGGAATAAATAATATTAGGATGGAAATCCTAATGTGGAAAAGAGACCATAAGATGCTGCCAACATGTCATGTCATTTTGACATTTGTAATTGATAATAATTTAACAAATGTAAACAATAAAATATTTTTTTTATAATTTCATGAGAATGAAGTCGCACGGGAAGAGCTAGTTTATGTTATAAATTAATTTACGCAGAGAGTTGTCCCGTCACTGATCCCGTATTCATTCCTAGATGCCGTGTGGTATTGACACTTCTCGGTAGTCGTAAGATTGAATATCACCCCACCTATTAATTCTCCGAATAAAATCTTTTGAAAAGTAAATATCGTTGAAGTGAGCTTATATTTTTGTTTCATACTAGCTTTTACGCGCGACTCCGTCCGCGTGAAATTAAAAATTAATATAAAACATTGTTATGTTACTCCAGACAACATAGCTATTTAATAGTATAAGAATTTTTGAAATCGACCCATTAAGTTTTGAGTTATTGCATTACAATCAAACAATCAAACAAACAAAGTTTTCCTCTTTATAATATTAATATAGATATATCAGACTTAAATAAAACGATGATTCACTATGCTATAATGAAGCCATATGAAACTCTCAGGTTAATTCGTGAGATCTTAATTGATAAATCATTGAGTCGTGTTGACGTAATTTCGGCAATTATTCGGTTCCGACATTCGTCTTGTTAATCTTATAATCTTCAGCTTTGTTAATTGGGATTTTGTTCAGTTTCATATAATTAATATAATGTTTCTTCTTCTTCTTCTATAGCTTTACAGCCCTTTGTGGGCCTTGGCTTGGTCCAGCAATTTTTTTCCATTTCGGTCTATCTCTGGCCACGGTCCTCCAGTTCGCTATGCCAACGGTTTT